CACCCCGCCCCATTCTCCCGCATTCCATAACCCCGCCCCATTCTCCCGTTTTCCATCACCCCGCCCCATTCTCCCTCTTTCCATCACCCCGCCCCATTCTCCCGCTTTCCAGCACCCCGCCCCATTCTCCCGCTTTCCATCACCCCGCCCGATTCTCCCGCTTTACATCACCCTGCCCCATTCTCCCGCTTTCCAGCACCCCGCCCCATTCTCCCGCTTTCCATCATGCCGCCCGATTCTCCCGCTTTCCATCACCCCGCCCCATTCTCCCGCTTTCCATCACCCCGCCCCATTCTCCCTCTTTCCATCACCCCGCCATTCTCCCACTTTCCATCACCCCGCCCCATTCTCCCTCTTTCCATCAGCCCGCCCCAATCTCCCTCTTTCCATAACCCCGCCCCATTGTCTCGTTTTCCATCACCCCGCCCCATTCTCCTGCTTTCCATCACCCCGCCCCATTCTCCCGCTTTCCATCACCCCGCCCCATTCTCCCGCTTTCCATCACCCGCCCCATTCTCTCGCTTTCCATCACCCCGCCCCATTCTCCCTCTTTCCATCACCCTGCCCCATTCTCCCTCTTTCCATCACCCGCCCCATTCTCCCGCTTTCCATCACCCCGCCCCATTCTCCCGCTTTCCATCACCCCGCCCCATTCTCCCTCTTTCCATCACCCGCCCCATTCTCCCTCTTTCCATCACCCCGCCCCATTCTCCCGCTTTCCATCACCCCGCCCCATTCTCCCTCTTTCCATCACCCCGCCCCATTCTCCCGCTTTCCATCACCCCGCCCCGTTCTCCATCTTTCCATCACCCCGCCCCACTCTCCCGCTTTCCATCACCCCGCTCCATTCTCCCGCTTTCCATCACCCCGCCCCATTCTCCCTCTTTCCATCACCCCGCCCCATTCGCCTGCTTTCCATCACCCGCCCCATTCTCCCGCTTTCCATCACCCCGCCCCATTCTCCCGCTTTCCATCACCCGCCCCATTCTCCCGCTTTCCAGCACCCCGCCCCATTCTCCCGCTTTCCATCACCCCGCCCCATTATCCCGCTTTCCATCACCCCGCCCCATTCTTCCGCTTTCCATCACCCCGCCCCATTCTCCCGCTTTCCATCACCCCACCCCATTCTCCCGCTTTCCATCACCCCACCCCATTCTCCCGCTTTACATGCCCATACGCATACGCATACACATACACATACACATACACATACACATACACATACACACAGACATAGACAGAGACAGAGACATGCACATGCACATGCACATGCACATACACATGCACATGCACATGCACATACACGTGCACATACAAATGCACATACATATGCATGAGGCAGACTTACCTTTGTAGCGGGATTGCGGCCCCATGAGAGCCGCACAGACTGCTGCCCGATGACCGTGCCATGCCGAGATCTGACAATTGGGGGGGGAGGAATCAGGACAGAAAGCAGGAAACAGCACGGAAATTGCTTGTGAGACGCCTCAAAACCTGATGACTATGCCATGCATGTTCCTTAGCGCCTCCTCTGCCTGCGATCTGAGAGTACAGGAAGGAAACCCGGGACCGAAAGCAGTAAGCAACACGTAAATTGCTTCGCAGGCGCCATAAAACCCAATGACCGTACCATGCCTGTTCCTCAGCGCCCCCGCCCCATTCTCCCACTTTCCATCACCCCGCCCCATTCTCTCGCTTTCCATCACCCCGCCCCATTCTCCCTCTTTCCATCACCCCGCCCCATTCTCCCTGTGTCCATCACCCCGCCCCATTCTCCCTCTTTCCATCACCCCGCCCCATTTTCCCGCTTTCCATCACCCCGCCCCATTCTCCCTCTTTCCATCACCCCGCCCCATTCTCCCTCTTTCCATCACCCCGCCCCATTCTCCCTCTTTCCATAACCCCGCCCCATTCTCCCGCTTTCCATCACCCCGCCCCTTTCTCCCGCTTTCCATCACCCCGCCCCATTCTCCCGCTTTCCAGCACCCCGTTCCATTCTCCCGCTTTCCATCACCCCGCCCGATTCTCCCGCTTTCCATCACCCCGCCCGATTCTCCCGCTTTCCATCAGCCCGCCCCATTCTCCCTCTTTCCATCACCCCGCCCTATTCTCCCTCTTTCCATCACCCCGCCCCATTCTCCCGCTTTCCATCACCTGCCCCATTCTCCCGCTTTCCATCACCCCGCCCCATTCTCCCTCTTTCCATCACCCCGCCCCATTCTTCCGCTTTCCATCACCCGCCCCATTCTTCCGCTTTTCATCACCCCGCCCCATTCTCCCGCTTTCCATCATCCCGCCCCATTCTTCCGCTTTCCATCACCCCGCCCCATTCTCCTGCTTTCCAACACCCCGCCCCATTCTCCCGCTTTCCATCACCCCGCCCCATTCTTCCTCTTTCCATCACCCCGCCCCATTCTCCCTCTTTCCATCATCCCGCTCCATTCTCCTGCTTTCCATCACCCCGCCCCATACTCCCGCTTTCCATCACCCCGCCCCATTCTCCCGCTTTCCATCACCCCGCCCCATTCTCCCTCTTTCCATCACCCCGCCCCATTCTCCCTCTTTCCATCATCCCGCTCCATTCTCCTGCTTTCCATCACCCCGCCCCATTCTCTCGCTTTCCATCACCCCGCCCCATTCTCCCTCTTTCCATCACCCCGCCCCATTCTCCCTCTTTCCATCACCCCGCCCCATTCTCCCTCTTTCCATCACCCCGCCCCATTCTCCCGCTTTCCATCACCCCGCCCCATTCTCCCTCTTTCCATCACCCCGCCCCATTCTCCCTCTTTCCATCACCCCGCCCCATTGTCCCGTTTTCCATCACCCCGCCCCATTCTCCCGCTTTCCATCACCCCGCCCCATTGTCCCGTTTTCGATCACCCCGTCCCATTCTCCCGCTTTCCATCACCCCGCCCCATTCTCCCGCTTTTCAGCACCCCCCCCCATTCTCCCGCTTTCCATCACCCCGCCCCATTCTCCCGCTTTCCAGCACTCCGCCCCATTCTCCCGCTTTCCATCACCCCGCCCGATTCTCCCGCTTTCTATCACCCCGCCCCATTCTCCCGCTTTCCATCACCCCGCCCCATTCTTCCGCTTTCCATCACCCCGCCCCATTCTCCCGCTTTCCATCACCCCGCCCCATTCTCCCTCTTTCCATCACCCTTCCCCATTCTCCCTCTTTCCATCACCCCGCCCCATTCTCCCTCTTTCCATCACCCCGCCCCATTCTCCCGCTTTCCATCACCCCGCCCCATTCTCCCTTCTCCATCACCCCGCCCCATTCTTCCTCTTTCCATCACCCCGCCCCATTGTCCCTCTTTCCATCACCCCGCCCCATTCTCCCTCTTTCCATCACCCCGCCCCATTCTCCCTCTTTCCATCACCCCGCCCCATTCTCCCGCTTTCCATCACCCCGCCCCGTTCTCCCGCTTTCCAGCACCCCGCCCGATTCTCCCTCTTTCCATCACCCTGCCCCATTCTCCCTCTTTCCATCACCCCGCCCCATTCGCCCGCTTTCCATCACCCCGCCCCATTCTCCCTTTTTCCATCACCCCGCCCCATTCTCCCTCTTTCCATCACCCCGCCCCATTCTCCCTCTTTCCATAACCCCGCCCCATTCTCCCGCTTTCCATCACCCCGCCCCATTCTCCCGCTTTCCAGCACCCCGCCCCATTCTCCCTCTTTCCATCACCCCGCCCCATTCTCCCTCTTTCCATCACCCCGCCCCATTCTCCCGCTTTCCATCACCCCGCCCCATTCTCCCGCTTTCCATCACCCCGCCCCATTCTCCCTCTTTCCATCACCCCGCCCCATTCTCCCTCTTTCCATCACCCCGCCCCATTCTCTCGCTTTCCATCACCCGCCCCATTCTCCCGCTTTCCATCACCCCACCCCATTCTCCCGCTTTCCATCACCCCGGCCCATTCTCCCGCTTTCCATCACCCCGCCCCATTCTCCCGCTTTCCATCACCCTGCCCCATTCTCCCTCTTTCCATCACCCCGCCCCATTCTCCCTCTTTCCATCACCCCGCCCCATTCTCCCGCTTTCCATCACCCGCCCCATTCTCCCGCTTTCCATCATCCCGCCCCAGTCTCCCGCTTTCCATGACCCCGCCCCATTCTCCCGCTTTCCATCACCCCGCCCCATTCTCCCTCTTTCCATCACCCCGCCCCATTCGCCCGCTTTCCATCACCCCGCCCCATTCTCCCTCTTTCCATCACCCCGCCCCATTCTCCCTCTTTCCATCACCCCGCCCCATTCTCCCGCTCTCCATCACCCTGCCCCATTCTCCCTCTTTCCATCACCCCGCCCCATTCTCCCGCTTTCCATCACCCCGCCCCATTCTCCCGCTTTCCATCACCCCGCCCCATTCTCCCGCTTTCCATCACCCCGCCCCATTGTCCCGCTTTCCATCATCCCGTCCCATTCTGCCGCTTTCCATCACCCCGGCCCATTCTCCCGCTTTCCAGCACCCCGCCCCATTCTTCCACTTTCCATCACCCCGCCCGATTCTCCCGCTTTCCAGCACCCCGCCCCATTCTCCCGCTTTCCATCACCCCGCCCGATTCTCCCGCTTTCTATCACCCCGCCCCATTCTCCCGCTTTCCATCACCCCGCCCCATTCTCCCGCTTTCCATCACCCCGCCCCATTCGCCCTCTTTCCGTCACCCCGCCCCATTCTCCCGCTTTCCATCAACCCGCCCCATCCTCCCTCATTCCATCACCCCGCCCCATTCTCCCTCTTTCCATCACCCCGCCCCATTCTCCCTCTTTCCATCACCCCGCCCCATTCTCCTGCTTTCCATCACCCCACCCCATTCTCCCTTCTCGATCACCCCGCCCTATTCTCCCTCTTTCCATCACCCCGCCCCATTCTCCCTCTTTCCATCACCCCGCCCCATTCTCCTTCTTTCCATCACCCCGCCCCATTCTCCCTCTTTCCATCACCCCGCCCCATTCTCCCGCTTTCCATCACCCCGCCCCATTCTCCCGCTTTCCATCACCCCGCCCCATTCTCCCGCTTTCCATCACCCGCCCCATTCTCCCGCTTTCCATCACCCCGCCCCATTCTCCCTCTTTCCATCACCCCGCCCCATTGCGCCTTGGTCCGGGAGCGCGCCTTGGTCCAGGAGCGCGCCTTGGTCCGGGCGCGCGCCTTGGTCCGGGAGCGCGCCTTGGTCCGGGTGCGCGCCTTGGTCCGGGCGCGCGCCTTGGTCCGGGCGCGCGCCTTGGTCCGGGCGCGCGCCTTGGTCCGGGAGCGCGCCTTGGTCCGGGCGCGCGCCTTGGTCCGGGCGCGCGCCTTGGTCCGGGCGCGCGCCTTGGTCCGGGCGCGAGCCTTTTTCCGGGCGCGCGCCTTGGTCCGGGCGCGCGCCTTGGTCCGGGCGCGCGCCTTGGTCCGGGCGCGCGCCTTGGTCCGGGCGCGCGCCTTGGTCCGGGAGCGCGCCTTGGTCCGGGGGCGCGCCTTGGTCCGGGAGCGCGCCTTGGTCCGGGCGCGCGCCTTGGTCCGGGCGCGCGCCTTGGTCCGGGAGCGCGCCTTGGTCCGGGCGCGCGCCTTGGTCCGGGCGCGCCTTGGTCCGGGCGCGCGCCTTGGTCCGGGCGCGCGCCTTGGTCCGGGCGCGCGCCTTGGTCCGGGCGCGCGCCTTGGTCCGGGCGCGCGCCTTGGTCCGGGAGCGCGCCTTGGTCCGGGAGCGCGCCTTGGTCCGGGCGCGCGCCTTGGTCCGGGAGCGCGCCTTGGTCCGGGCGCGCGCCTTGGTCCGGGCGCGCGCCTTGTTCCGGGCGCGCGCCTTGGTCCGGGCGCGCGCCTTGGTCCGGGCGCGCGCCTTGGTCCGGGCGCGCCTTGCACCGGGAGCGCGCCTTGGTCCGGGAGCGCGCCTTGGTCCGGGCGCGAGCCTTGGTCCGGGCGCGCGCCCTGGTCCGGGAGCGCGCCTTGGTCCGGGAGCGCGCCTTGGTCCGGGCGCGCGCCTTGGTCCGGGGGCGCGCCTTGGTCCGGGCGCGCGCCTTGGTCCGGGCGCGCGCCTTGGTCCGGGAGCGCGCCTTGGTCCGGGAGCGCGCCTTGGTCTGGGCGCGCGCCTTGGTCCGGGCGCGCGCCCTGGTCCGGGAGCGCGCCTTGGTCCGGGCGCGTGCCTTGGTCCGGGCGCGCCTTGGACCGGGAGCGCGCCTTGGTCCAGGAGCGCGCCTTGGTCCGGGAGCGCGCCTTGGTCCGGGCGCGCGCCTTGGTCCGGGAGCGCGCCTTGGTCCGGGAGCGCGCCTTGGTCCGGGCGCGCGCCTTGGTCCGGGCGCGCGCCTTGGTCCGGGCGCGCGCGTTGGTCTCGCGCATTGGTCCGGGCGCGCGCGTTGGTCCGGGCGCGCGCCTTGGTCCGGGCGCGCGCCTTGGTCCGGGCGCGCGCCTTGGTCCGGGCGCGCGCCTTGGTCCGGGCGCGCGCCTTGGTCCGGGAGCGCGCCTTGGTCCGGGCGCGCGCCTTGGTCCGGCCGCGCGCCTTGGTCCGGGCGCGCGCCTTGGTCCGGGAGCGCGCCTTGGTCCGGGCGCGCGCCTTGGTCCGGGAGCGCGCCTTGGTCCGGGCGCGCGCCTTGGTCCGGGCGCGCGCCTTGGTCCGGGCGCGCGCTGGTCCGGGAGCGCGCCTTGGTCCGGGGGCGCGCCTTGGTCCGGGAGCGCGCCTTGGTCCGGGAGCGCGCCTTGGTCCGGGCGCGCGCCTTGGTCCGGGCGCGCGCCTTGGTCCGGGCGCGCGCCTTGGTCCGGGCGCGCGCCTTGGTCCGGGCGCGCGCCTTGGTCCGGGCGCGCGCCTTGGTCCGGGCGCGCGCCTTGGTCCGGGAGCGCGCCTTGGTCCGGGGGCGCGCCTTGGTCCGGGAGCGCGCCTTGGTCCGGGCGCGCGCCTTGGTCTGGGCGCGCGCCTTGGTCCGGGCGTGCGTTGGTCCAGGAGCACGCCTTGGTCCGGGCGCGCGCCTTGGTCCGGGCGCGCCTTGGTCCGGGCGCGCGCCTTGGTCCGGGCGCGCGCCTTGGTCCGGGCGCGCGCTGGTCCGGGAGCGCGCCTTGGTCCGGGCGCGCGCCTTGGTCCGGGCGCGCGCCTTGGTCCGGGCGCGCGCCTTGGTCCGGGCGCGCGCCTTGGTCCGGGAGCGCGCCTTGGCCCAGGCGCACGCGTTGGTCCGGGCGCGCGCGTTGGTCCGGGCGTGCGCGTTGGTCCGGGCGTGCGTTGGTCCGGGCGCGCGCCTTGGTCCGGGCGCGCGCCTTGGTCCGGGCGCGCGCCTTGGTCCGGGAGCGCGCCTTGGTCCGGGGGCGCGCCTTGGTCCGGGCGCGCGCCTTGGTCTGGGCGTGCGTTGGTCCGGGCGTGCGTTGGTCCGGGCGCGCGCCTTGGTCCGGGAGCGCGCCTTGGTCCGGGCGCGCGCCTTGGTCCGGGCGCGCCTTGGTCCGGGCGCGCGCCTTGGTCCGGGCGCGCGCCTTGGTCCGGGCGCGCGCCTTGGTCCGGGCGCGCGCCTTGGTCCGGGCGCGCGCCTTGGTTCGGGCGCGCGCCTTGGTCCGGGCGCGCGCCTTGGTCCGGGCGCGCGCCTTGGTCCGGGAGCGCGCCTTGGTCCGGGAGCGCGCCTTGGTCCGGGCGCGCGCCTTGGTCCGGGAGCGCGCCTTGGTCCGGGAGCGCGCCTTGGTCCGGGCGCGCGCCTTGGTCCGGGAGCGCGCCTTGGTCCGGGAGCGCGCCTTGGTCCGGGGGCGCGCCTTGGTCCGGGCGCGCGCCTTGGTCCAGGCGCGCGCCTTGGTCCGGTCGCGCCTTGCACCGGGAGCGCGCCTTGGTCCGGGAGCGCGCCTTGGTCCGGGCGCGCGCCTTGGTCCGGGAGCTCGCCTTGGTCCGGGCGCGTGCCTTGGTCCGGCCGCGCGCCTTGGTACGGGCGCGCGCCTTGGTCCGGGCGCGCGCCTTGGTCCGGGCGCGCGCCTTGGTCCGGGCGCGCGCCTTGGTCCGGGAGCGCGCCTTGGTCCGGGAACGCGCCTTGGTCCGGGCGCGCGCCTTGGTCCGGGAGCGCGCCTTGGTCCGGGCGCGCGCCTTGGTCCGGCCGCGCGCCTTGGTCCGGGCGCGCGCCTTGGTCCGGGAGCGCGCCTTGGTCCGGGCGCGCGCCTTGGTCCGGGCGCGCGCCTTGGTCCGGGCGCGCGCCTTGGTCCGGGCGCGCGCCTTGGTCCGGGCGCGCGCCTTGGTCCGGGAGCGCGCCTTGGCCCGGGCGCGCGCGTTGGTCCGGGCGCGCGCGTTGGTCCGGGCGTGCGTTGGTCCGGGCGCGCGCCTTGGTCCGGGCGCGCGCCTTGGACCGGGCGCGCGCCTTGGTCCGGGCGCGCGCCTTGGTCCGAGCGCGTGCCTTGGTCCGGGCGCGCGCCTTGGTCCGGGCGCGCGCCTTGGTCCGGGCGCGCGCCTTGGTCCGGGAGCGCGCCTTGGTCCGGGGGCGCGCCTTGGTCCGGGAGCGCGCCTTGGTCCGGGCGCGCGCCTTGGTCTGGGCGCGCGCCTTGGTCGGGAGCGCGCCTTGGTCCGGGCGCGCGCCTTGGTCCGGGAGCGCGCCTTGGTCCGGGCGCGCGCCTTGGTCCGGGCGCGCGCCTTGGTCCGGGCGCGCGCCTTGGTCCGGGCGCGCCTTGGTCCGGGCGCGCGCCTTGGTCCGGGCGCGCGCCTTGGTCCGGGCGCGCGCCTTGGTCCGGGAGCGCACCTTGGTCCGGGCGCGCGCCTTGGTCCGGGCGCGCGCCTTGGTCCGGGCGCGCGCGTTGGTCTCGCGCGTTGGTCCGGGCGCGCGCGTTGGTCCGGGCGCGCGCCTTGGTCCGGGCGCGCGCCTTGGTCCGGGCGCGCGCCTTGGTCCGGCCGCGCGCCTTGGTCCGGGCGCGCGCCTTGGTCCGGGAGCGCGCCTTGGTCCGGGCGCGCGCCTTGGTCCGGGAGCGCGCCTTGGTCCGGGAGCGCGCCTTGGTCCGGGCGCGCGCCTTGGTCCGGGGGCGCGCCTTGGTCCGGGCGCGCGCCTTGGTCCGGTCGCGCCTTGCACTGGGAGCGCGCCTTGGTCCGGGAGCGCGCCTTGGTCCGGGCGCGCGCCTTGGTCCGGGAGCGCGCCTTGGTCCGGGAGCGCGCCTTGGTCCGGGCGCGCGCCTTGGTCCGGGCGCGCGCCTTGTTCCGGGCGTGCGCCTTGGTCCGGGCGCGCGCCTTGGTCCGGGCGCGCGCCTTGGTCCGGGAGCGCGCCTTGGTCCGGGAGCGCGCCTTGGTCCGAGAGCGCGCCTTGGTCCGGGAGCGCGCCTTGGTCCGGGCGCGCGCCTTGGTCCGAGCGCGCGCCTTGGTTCGGGCGCGCGCCTTGGTCCGGGAGCGCGCCTTGGTCCGGGCGCACGCCTTGGTCCGGGCGCGCGCCTTGGTCCGGGCGCGCGCCTTGGTCCGGGCGCGCGCCTTGGTCCGGGAGCGCGCCTTGGTCCGGGCGCGCGCCTTGGTCCGGGCGCGCCTTGGTCCGGGCGCGCGCCTTGGTCCGGGCGCGCGCCTTGGCCCGGGCGCGCTCCTTGGTCCGGGCGCGCGCCTTGGTCCGGGCGCGTGCCTTGGTCCGGGCGCGCGCCTTGGTCCGGGCGCGCGCCTTGGTCCGGGCGCGCGCCTTGGTCCGGGAGCGCGCCTTGGTCCGGGCGCGCGCCTTGGTCCGGGAGCGCGCCTTGGTCCGGGCGCGCGCCTTGGTCCGGGCGCGCCTTGGTCCGGGCGCGCGCCTTGGTCCGGGCGCGCGCCTTGGCCCGGGCGCGCTCCTTGGTCCGGGCGCGCGCCTTGGTCCGGGCGCGTGCCTTGGTCCGGGCGCGCGCCTTGGTCCGGGCGCGCGCCTTGGTCCGGGCGCGCGCCTTGGTCCGGGAGCGCGCCTTGGTCCGGGCGCGCGCCTTGGTCCGGGCGCGCGCCTTGGTCCGGGGGCGCGCCTTGGTCTGGGAGCGCGCCTTGGTCCGGGCGCGCGCCTTGGTCCGGGCGCGCGCCTTGGTCCGGGCGCGCGCCTTGGTCCGAGCGCGCGCCTTGGTCCGGGAGCGCGCCTTGGTTCGAGCGCACGCCTTGGTCCGGGCGCGCGCCTTGGTCCGGGCGCGCGCCCCTTGGTCCGGGAGCGCGCCCCTTGGTCCGGGAGCGCCCCTTGGTCCAAGCGCGCGCCTTGGTCCGGGAGCGCGCCTTGGTCCGGGCGCGCGCCTTGGTCCGGGCGCGCGCCTTGGTCCAGGCGCGCGCCTTGGTCCGGGCGCGCGCCTTGGTCCGGGGGCGCGCCTTGGTCCGGGGGCGCGCCTTGGTCCGGGGGCGCGCCTTGGTCCGGGCGCGCGCCTTGGTCCGGGCGCGCGCCTTGGTCCCGGCGCGCCTTGGACCGGGAGCGCGCCTTGGTCCGGGAGCGCGCCTTGGTCCGGGAGCGCACCTTGGTCCGGGCGCGCGCCTTGGTCCGGTCGCGCGCCTTGGTCCGGGCGCGCGCGTTGGTCCGGGCGCGCGCGTTGGTCCGGGCGCGCGCCTTGGTCCGGGCGCGCGCCTTGGTCCGGGCGCGCGCCTTGGTCCGGGCGCGCGCCTTGGTCCGGGAGCGCGCCTTGGTCCGGGCGCGCGCCTTGGTCCGGCCGCGCGCCTTGGTCCGGGCGCGCGCCTTGGTCCGGGAGTGCGCCTTGGTCCGGGCGCGCGCCTTGGTCCGGGAGCGCGCCTTGGTCCGGGCGCGCGCCTTGGTCCGGGCGCGCGCCTTGGTCCGGGCGCGCGCCTTGGTCCGGGCGCGCGCTGGTCCGGGAGCGCGCCTTGGTCCGGGCGCGCGCCTTGGTCCGGGCGCGCGCCTTGGTCCGGGCGCGCGCCTTGGTCCGGGAGCGCGCCTTGGCCCGGGCGCACGCGTTGGTCCGGGCGCGCGCGTTGGTCCGGGCGTGCGTTGGTCCGGGCGCGCGCCTTGGTCCGGGCGCGCGCCTTGGTCCGGGCGCGCGCCTTGGTCCGGGCGCGCGCCTTGGTCCTTGCGCGCCCCTTGGTCCGGGCGCGCGCCTTGGTCCGGGCGCGCGCCTTGGTCCGGGAGCGCGCGCCTTGGTCCGGGCGCGCGCCTTGGTCCGGGCGCGCGCCTTGGTCCGGGCGCGCGCCTTGGTCCGGGCGCGCGCCTTGGTCCGGGCGCGAGCCGTGGTCCGGGAGCGCGCCGTGGTCCGGGAGCGCGCCTTGGTCCGGGAGCGCGCCTTGGTCCGGGAGCGCGCCTTGGTCCGGGCGCGCGCCTTGGTCCGGGCGCGCGCCTTGGTCCGGGAGCGCGCCTTGGTCCGGGAGCGCGCCTTGGTCCGGGCGCGCGCCTTGGTCCGGGCGCGCGCCTTGGTCCGAGCGCGCGCCTTGGTCCGGGCGCGCGCCTTGGTCCGGGAGCGCGCCTTGGTCCGGGAGCGCGCCTTGGTCCGGGCGCGCGCCTTGGTCCGGGCGCGCGCCTTGGTCCAGGCGCGCGCCTTGGTCCGGGAGCGCGCGCCTTGGTCCGGGAGCGCGCGTTGGTCCGGGCGCGCGCCTTGGTCCGGGCGCGCGCCTTGGTCCGGGAGCGCGCCTTGGTCCGGGCGCGCGCCTTGGTCCGTGCGCGCGCCTTGGTCCGTGCGCGCGCCTTGGTCCGGGCGCGCGCCTTGGTCCGGGCGCGCGCCTTGGTCCGGGAGCGCGCCTTGGTCCGGGAGCGCGCCTTGGTCCGGGCGCGCGCCTTGGTCCGGGAGCGTGCCTTGGTCCGGGAGCGCGCCTTGGTCCGGGAGCGCGCCTTGGTCCGGGAGCGCGCGCCTTGGTCCGGGAGCGCGCCTTGGTCCGGGCGCGCGCCTTGGTCCGGGCGCGCGCCTTGGTCCGGGAGCGCGCCTTGGTCCGGGAGCGCGCCTTGGTCCGGGCGCGCGCCTTGGTCCGGGCGCGCGCCTTGGTCCTTGCGCGCCCCTTGGTCCGGGCGCGCGCCTTGGTCCGGGAGCGCGCGCCTTGGTCCGGGCGCGCCCCTTGGTCCGGGCGCGCGCCTTGGTCCGGGCGCGCGCCTTGGTCCGGGCGCGCGCCTTGGTCCGGGCGCGCGCCTTGGTCCGGGCGCGAGCCGTGGTCCGGGAGCGCGCCTTGGTCCGGGAGCGCGCCTTGGTCCGGGAGCGCGCCTTGGTCCGGAGCGCGCCTTGGTCCGGGCGCGCGCCTTGGTCCGGGCGCGCGCCTTGGTCCGGGCGCGCGCCGTGGTCCGGGCGCGCGCCTTGGTCCGGGAGCGCGCCTTGGTCCGGGCGCGCGCCTTGGTCCGGGAGCGCGCCTTGGTCCGGGCGCGCGCCTTGGTCCGGGCGCGCGCCTTGGTCCGGGAGCGCGCCTTGGTCCGGGAGCGCGCCTTGGTCCGGGCGCGCGCCTTGGTCCGGGAGCGCGCCTTGGACCGAGCGCGCGCCTTGGTCCGGGCGCGCGCCTTGGTCCGGGCGCGCGCCTTGGTCCGGGCGCGCGCCTTGGTCCGGGCGCGCGCCTTGGTCCGGGCGCGCGCCTTGGTCCGGGAGCGCGCCTTGGTCCGGGAGCGCGCCTTGGTCCGGGCGCGCGCCTTGGTCCGGGCGCGCGCCTTGGTCCGGGCGCGCGCCTTGGTCCGGGAGCGCGCCTTGGCCCGGGCGCACGCGTTGGTCCGGGCGCGCGCGTTGGTCCGGGCGTGCGTTGGTCCGGGCGCGCGCCTTGGTCCGGGCGCGCGCCTTGGTCCGGGCGCGCGCCTTGGTCCGGGCGCGCGCCTTGGTCCTTGCGCGCCCCTTGGTCCGGGCGCGCGGCCTTGGTCCGGGCGCGCGCCTTGGTCCGGGAGCGCGCGCCTTGGTCCGGGCGCGCGCCTTGGTCCGGGCGCGCGCCTTGGTCCGGGCGCGCGCCTTGGTCCGGGCGCGCGCCTTGGTCCGGGCGCGAGCCGTGGTCCGGGAGCGCGCCGTGGTCCGGGAGCGCGCCTTGGTCCGGGAGCGCGCCTTGGTCCGGGAGCGCGCCTTGGTCCGGGCGCGCGCCTTGGTCCGGGCGCGCGCCTTGGTCCGGGAGCGCGCCTTGGTCCGGGAGCGCGCCTTGGTCCGGGCGCGCGCCTTGGTCCGGGCGCGCGCCTTGGTCCGAGCGCGCGCCTTGGTCCGGGCGCGCGCCTTGGTCCGGGAGCGCGCCTTGGTCCGGGAGCGCGCCTTGGTCCGGGCGCGCGCCTTGGTCCGGGCGCGCGCCTTGGTCCAGGCGCGCGCCTTGGTCCGGGAGCGCGCGCCTTGGTCCGGGAGCGCGCGTTGGTCCGGGCGCGCGCCTTGGTCCGGGCGCGCGCCTTGGTCCGGGAGCGCGCCTTGGTCCGGGCGCGCGCCTTGGTCCGTGCGCGCGCCTTGGTCCGTGCGCGCGCCTTGGTCCGGGCGCGCGCCTTGGTCCGGGCGCGCGCCTTGGTCCGGGAGCGCGCCTTGGTCCGGGAGCGCGCCTTGGTCCGGGCGCGCGCCTTGGTCCGGGAGCGTGCCTTGGTCCGGGAGCGCGCCTTGGTCCGGGAGCGCGCCTTGGTCCGGGAGCGCGCGCCTTGGTCCGGGAGCGCGCCTTGGTCCGGGCGCGCGCCTTGGTCCGGGCGCGCGCCTTGGTCCGGGAGCGCGCCTTGGTCCGGGAGCGCGCCTTGGTCCGGGCGCGCGCCTTGGTCCGGGCGCGCGCCTTGGTCCTTGCGCGCCCCTTGGTCCGGGCGCGCGCCTTGGTCCGGGAGCGCGCGCCTTGGTCCGGGCGCGCCCCTTGGTCCGGGCGCGCGCCTTGGTCCGGGCGCGCGCCTTGGTCCGGGCGCGCGCCTTGGTCCGGGCGCGCGCCTTGGTCCGGGCGCGAGCCGTGGTCCGGGAGCGCGCCTTGGTCCGGGAGCGCGCCTTGGTCCGGGAGCGCGCCTTGGTCCGGGAGCGCGCCTTGGTCCGGGCGCGCGCCTTGGTCCGGGCGCGCGCCTTGGTCCGGGCGCGCGCCGTGGTCCGGGCGCGCGCCTTGGTCCGGGAGCGCGCCTTGGTCCGGGCGCGCGCCTTGGTCCGGGAGCGCGCCTTGGTCCGGGCGCGCGCCTTGGTCCGGGCGCGCGCCTTGGTCCGGGAGCGCGCCTTGGTCCGGGAGCGCGCCTTGGTCCGGGCGCGCGCCTTGGTCCGGGAGCGCGCCTTGGACCGAGCGCGCGCCTTGGTCCGGGCGCGCGCCTTGGTCCGGCGCGCGCCTTGGTCCGGGCGCGCGCCTTGGTCCGGGCGCGCGCCTTGGTCCGGGCGCGCGCCTTGGTCCGGGAGCGCGCCTTGGTCCGGGAGCGCGCCTTGGTCCGGGCGCGCGCCTTGGTCCGGGCGCACGCCTTGGTCCGGGCGCGCGCCTTGGTCCGGGCGCGCGCCTTGGTCCGGGCGCGCGCCGTGGTCCGGGCGCGCGCCTTGGTCCGGGAGCGCGCCTTGGTCCGGGCGCGCGCCTTGGTCCGGGAGCGCGCCTTGGTCCGGGCGCGCGCCTTGGTCCGGGAGCGCGCCTTGGTCCGGGCGCGCGCCTTGGTCCGGGAGCGCGCCTTGGTCCGGGAGCGCGCCTTGGTCCGGGCGCGCGCCTTGGTCCGGGAGCGCGCCTTGGACCGGGCGCGCGCCTTGGTCCGGGCGCGCGCCTTGGTCCGGGCGCGCGCCTTGGTCCGGGCGCGCGCCTTGGTCCGGGCGCGCGCCTTGGTCCGGGCGCGCGCCTTGGTCCGGGCGTGCGCCTTGGTCCGGGCGCGCGCCTTGGTCCGGGAGCGCGCCTTGGTCCGGGCGCGCGCCTTGGTCCGGGCGCGCGCCTTGGTCCGGGCGCGCGCCTTGGTCCGGGCGCGCGCCTTGGTCTGGGCGCGCGCCTTGGTCCGGGAGCGCGCCTTGGTCCGGGCGCGCGCCTTGGTCCGGGCGCGCGCCTTGGTCCGGGCGCGCGCCTTGGTCCGGGCGCGCGCCTTGGTCCGGGCGCGCGCCTTGGTCCGGGAGCGCGCCTTGGTCCGGGAGCGCGCCTTGGTCCGGGAGCGCGCCTTGGTCCGGGAGCGCGCCTTGGTCCGGGAGCGCGCCTTGGTCCGGGCGCGCGCCTTGGTCCGGGCGCGCGCCTTGGTCCGGGCGCGCGCCTTGGTCCGGGCGCGCGCCTTGGTCCGGGCGCGCGCCTTGGTCCGGGCGCGCGCGTTGGTCCGGGCGCGCGCGTTGGTCCGGGCGCGCGCCTTGGTCCGGGCGCGCGCCTTGGTCCGGGAGCGCGCCTTGGTCCGGGCGCGCGCCTTGGTCCGGCCGCGCGCCTTGGTCCGGGCGCGCGCCTTGGTCCGGGAGTGCGCCTTGGTCCGGGCGTGCGCCTTGGTCCGGGAGCGCGCCTTGGTCCGGGCGCGCGCCTTGGTCCGGGCGCGCGCCTTGGTCCGGGCGCGCGCCTTGGTCCGGGCGCGCGCCTTGGTCCGGGCGCGCGCCTTAATCCGGGCGCGCGCCTTGGTCCGTGAGCGCGCCTTGGTCCGGGAGCGCGCCTTGGTCCGGGCGCGCGCCTTGGTCCGGGCGCGCGCCTTAATCCGGGCGCGCGCCTTGGTCCGTGAGCGCGCCTTGGTCCGTGAGCGCGCCTTGGTCCGGGCGCGCGCCTTGGTCCGGGCGCGCGCCTTGGTCCGGGCGCGCGCCTTGGTCCTTGCGCGCCCCTTGGTCCGGGCGCGCGCCTTGGTCCGGGAGCGCGCGCCTTGGTCCGGGCGCGCCCCTTGGTCCGGGCGCGCGCCTTGGTCCGGGCGCGCGCCTTGGTCCGGGCGCGCGCCTTGGTCCGGGCGCGCGCCTTGGTCCGGGCGCGAGCCGTGGTCCGGGAGCGCGCCTTGGTCCGGGAGCGCGCCTTGGTCCGGGAGCGCGCCTTGGTCCGGGAGCGCGCCTTGGTCCGGGCGCGCGCCTTGGTCCGGGCGCGCGCCTTGGTCCGGGCGCGCGCCGTGGTCCGGGCGCGCGCCTTGGTCCGGGAGCGCGCCTTGGTCCGGGCGCGCGCCTTGGTCCGGGAGCGCGCCTTGGTCCGGGCGCGCGCCTTGGTCCGGGCGCGCGCCTTGGTCCGGGAGCGCGCCTTGGTCCGGGAGCGCGCCTTGGTCCGGGCGCGCGCCTTGGTCCGGGCGCGCGCCTTGGTCCGGGAGCGCGCCTTGGTCCGGGCGCGCGCCTTGGTCCGGGAGCGCGCCTTGGACCGGGCGCGCGCCTTGGTCCGGGCGCGCGCCTTGGTCCGGGCGCGCGCCTTGGTCCGGGCGCGCGCCTTGGTCCGGGCGCGCGCCTTGGTCCGGGCGCGCGCCTTGGTCCGGGAGCGCGCCTTGGTCCGGGAGCGCGCCTTGGTCCGGGCGCGCGCCTTGGTCCGGGCGCGCGCCTTGGTCCGGGCGCGCGCCCCTTGGTCCGGGAGCGCGCCCCTTGGTCCGGGAGCGCCCCTTGGTCCGGGCGCGCGCCTTGGTCCGGGCGCGCGCCTTGGTCCGGGCGCGCGCCTTGGTCCGGGCGCGCGCCTTGGTCCGGGCGCGAGCCTTGGTCCGGGCGCGCGCCTTGGTCCGGGCGCGCGCCTTGGTCCGGGAGCGCGCCTTGGTCCGGGAGCGCGCCTTGGTCCGGGCGCGCGCCTTGGTCCGGGCGCGCGCCTTGGTCCGGGCGCGCGCCTTGGTCCGGGAGCGCGCGCCTTGGTCCGGGAGCGCGCGTTGGTCCGGGCGCGCGCCTTGGTCCGGGCGCGCGCCTTGGTCCGGGCGCGCGCCTTGGTCCGGGCGCGCGCCTTGGTCCGGGAGCGCGCCTTGGTCCGGGAGCGCGCCTTGGTCCGGGCGCGCGCCTTGGTCCGGGCGCGCGCCTTGGTCCGGGCGCGCGCCTTGGTCCGGGCGCGCGCCTTGGTCCGGGCGCGCGCCTTGGTCCGGGAGCGCGCGCCTTGGTCCGGGCGCGCGCCTTGGTCCGGGCGCGCGCCTTGGTTCGGGCGCGCGCCTTGGTCCGGGAGCGCGCCTTGGTCCTGGCGCGCGCCTTGGTCCTGGCGCGCGCCTTGGTCCGGGCGCGCGCCTTGGTCCGGGGGCGCGCCTTGGCGGGAGCGCGCCTTGCACCGGGAGCGCGCCTTGGTCCGGGAGCGCGCCTTGGTCCGGGAGCGCGCCTTGGTCCGGGAGCGCGCCTTGGTCCGGGAGCGCGCCTTGGTCTGGGCGCGCGCCTTGGTCCGGGCGCTCGCCTTGGTCCGGGCGCGCGCCTTGGTCCGTGCGCGCGCCTTGGTCCGGGCGCGCGCCTTGGTCCGGGAGCGCGCCCTGGTCCGGGGGAGCGCCCCTTGGTCCAGGCGCGCGCCTTGGTCCGGGCGCGCGCCTTGGTCCGGGCGCGCGCCTTGGTCCGGGCGCGCGCCTTGGTCCGGGAGCGCGCCTTGGTCCGGGAGCGCGCCTTGGTCCGGACGCGCGCCTTGGTCCGGGAGCGCGCCTTGGTCCGGGAGCGCGCCTTGGTCCGGGCGCGCGCCTTGGTCCGGGCGCGCGCCTTGGTCCGGGCGCGCGCCTTGGTCCGAGCGCGCGCCTTGGTCCGGGAGCGCGCCCCTTGGTCCGGGAGCGCCCCTTGGTCCGGGCGCACGCCTTGGTCCGGGCGCGCGCCTTGGTCCGGGCGCGCGCCTTGGTCCGGGAGCGCGCATTGGTCCGGGCGCGCGCCTTGGTCCGGGAGCGCGCCTTGGTCCGGGAGCGCGCCTTGGTCCGGGCGCGCGCCTTGGTCCGGGCGCGCGCCTTGGTCCGGGCGCGCGCCTTGGTCCGGGCGCGCGCCTTGGTCCGGGCGCGCGCCTTGGTCCGGGAGCGCGCGCCTTGGTCCGGGCGCGCGCCTTGGTCCGGGCGCGCGCCTTGGTTCGGGCGCGCGCCTTGGTCCGGGAGCGCGCCTTGGTCCTGGCGCGCGCCTTGGTCCTGGCGCGCGCCTTGGTCCGGGCGCGCGCCTTGGTCCGGGGGCGCGCCTTGGCGGGAGCGCGCCTTGCACCGGGAGCGCGCCTTGGTCCGGAAGCGCGCCTTGGTCCGGGAGCGCGCGTTGGTCCGGGCGCGCGCCTTGGTCCGGGCGCGCGCCTTGGTCCGGGCGCGCGCCTTGGTCCGGGCGCGCGCCTTGGTCCGGGAGCGCGCCTTGGTCCGGGAGCGCGCCTTGGTCCGGGCGCGCGCCTTGGTCCGGGCGCGCGCCTTGGTCCGGGCGCGCGCCTTGGTCCGGGCGCGCGCCTTGGTCCGGGCGCGCGCCTTGGTCCGGGAGCGCGCGCCTTGGTCCGGGCGCGCGCCTTGGTCCGGGCGCGCGCCTTGGTTCGGGCGCGCGCCTTGGTCCGGGAGCGCGCCTTGGTCCTGGCGCGCGCCTTGGTCCTGGCGCGCGCCTTGGTCCGGGCGCGCGCCTTGGTCCGGGGGCGCGCCTTGGCGGGAGCGCGCCTTGCACCGGGAGCGCGCCTTGGTCCGGGAGCGCGCCTTGGTCCGGGAGCGCGCCTTGGTCCGGGAGCGCGCCTTGGTCCGGGAGCGCGCCTTGGTCTGGGCGCGCGCCTTGGTCCGGGCGCTCGCCTTGGTCCGGGCGCGCGCCTTGGTCCGTGCGCGCGCCTTGGTCCGGGCGCGCGCCTTGGTCCGGGAGCGCGCCCTGGTCCGGGGGAGCGCCCCTTGGTCCAGGCGCGCGCCTTGGTCCGGGCGCGCGCCTTGGTCCGGGCGCGCGCCTTGGTCCGGGCGCGCGCCTTGGTCCGGGAGCGCGCCTTGGTCCGGGAGCGCGCCTTGGTCCGGACGCGCGCCTTGGTCCGGGAGCGCGCCTTGGTCCGGGAGCGCGCCTTGGTCCGGGCGCGCGCCTTGGTCCGGGCGCGCGCCTTGGTCCGGGGCGCCTGGTCCGGGCGCGCGCCTTGGTCCGAGCGCGCGCCTTGGTCCGGGAGCGCGCCCCTTGGTCCGGGAGCGCCCCTTGGTCCGGGCGCACGCCTTGGTCCGGGCGCGCGCCTTGGTCCGGGCGCGCGCCTTGGTCCGGGAGCGCGCATTGGTCCGGGCGCGCGCCTTGGTCCGGGCGCGCGCGTTGGTCCGGGCGCGCGCCTTGGTCCGGGCGCGCGCCTTGGTCCGGGAGCGCGCCTTGGTCCGGGCGCGCGCCTTGGTCCGGGCGCGCGCCTTGGTCCGGGCGCGCCTTGGTCCGGGCGCGCGCCTCAGTCCGGGCGCGCGCCTCGGTCCGGGCGCGCGCCTCGGTCCGGGCGCGCGCGCCTTGGTCCGGGAGCGCGCCTTGGTCCGGGAGCGCGCCTTGGTCCGGGAGCGCGCCTTGGTCCGGGAGCGCGCCTTGGTCCGGGCGCGCGCCTTGGTCCGGGCGCCCGCCTTGGTCCGGGCGCGCGCATTGGTCCGGGCGCGCGCCTTGGTCCGGGCGCGCGCCTTGGTCCGGGAGCGCGCCTTGGTCCGGGCGCGCGCCTTGGTCCGGGCGCGCGCCTTGGTCCGGGCGCGCGCCTTGGTCCGGGCGCGCGCCTTGGTCCGGGAGCGCGCCTTGGTCCGGGCGCGCGCCTTGGTCCGGGCGCGCCTTGGTCCGGGCGCGCGCCCTGGTCCGGGCGCGCGCCTTGGTCCGGGCGCGCGCCTTGGTCCGGGCGCGCGCCTTGGTCCGGCGCGCGCCTTGGTCCGGGCGCGCGCCTTGGTCCGGGCGTGCGCCTTGGTCCGGGCGCGCGCCTTGGTCCGGGAGCGCGCGTTGGTCCGGGCGCGCGTTGGTCCGGGCGCGCGCCTTGGTCCGGGCGCGCGCCTTGGTCCGGGCGCGCGCCTTGGTCCGGGCGCGCGCCTTGGTCCGGGCGCGCGCCTTGGTCCGGGCGCGCGCCTTGGTCCGGGCGCGCGCCTTGGTCCGGGCGCGCGCCTTGGTCCGGGAGCGCGCCTTGGTCCTGGCGCGCGCCTTGGTCCGGGCGCGCGCCTTGGTCCGGGCGCGCGCCTTGGTCCGGGCGCGCGCCTTGGTCCGGGCGCGCGCCTTGGTCCGGGAGCGCGCGTTGGTCCGGGCGCGCGTTGGTCCGGGCGCGCCTTGGTCCGGGCGCGCGCCTTGGTCCGGGCGCGCCTTGCACCGGGAGCGCGCCTTGGTCCGGGAGCGCGCCTTGGTCCGGGCGCGCGCCTTGGTCCGGGCGCGCGCCTTGGTCCGGGAGCGCGCCTTGGTCCGGGAGCGCGCCTTGGTCCGGGCGCGCGCCTTGGTCCGGGCGCGCGCCTTGTTCCGGGCGCGCGCCTTGTTCCGGGCGCGCGCCTTGGTCCGGGAGCGCCCCTTGGTCCGGGCGCGCGCCTTGGTCCGGGAGCGCGCCTTGGTCCGGGAGCGCGCCTTGGTCCGGGAGCGCGCGCCTTGGTCCAGGCGCGCGCCTTGGTCCGGGAGCGCGCCTTGGTCCGGGCGCGCGCCTTGGTCCGGGCGCGCGCCTTGGTCCGGGCGCGCGCCTTAATCCGGGCGCGCGCCTTGGTCCGTGAGCGCGCCTTGGTCCGGGCGCGCGCCTTGGTCCGGGCGCGCGCCTTGGTCCGGGCGCGCGCCTTGGTCCGGGAGCGCGCCCTGGTCCGGGAGCGCGCCTTGGTCCGGGAGCGCGCCTTGGTCCGGGCGCGCGCCTTGGTCCGGGCGCGCGCCTTGGTCCGGGCGCGCGCCTTGGTCCGGGCGCGCGCCTTGGTCCGGGCGCGTGCCGTGGTCCGGGCGCGCGCCTTGGTCCGGGCGCGCGCCTTGGTCCGGGCGCACGCCTTGGTCCGGGAGCGGCCTTGGTCCGGGAGCGCGCCTTGGTCCGGGCGCGCGCCTTGGTCCGGGCGCGCGCCTTGGTCCGGCGCGCGCCTTGGACCGGGCGCGCCCCTTGGTCCGGGCGCGCGCCTTGGTCCGGGCGCGCGCCTTGGTCCGGGCGCGCGCCTTGGTCTGGGCGCGCGCCTTGGTCCGGGCGCGCGCCTTGGTCCGGTCGCGCGCCTTGGTCCGAAGGCGCGCCTTGGTCCGAAGGCGCGCCTTGGTCCGGGAACGCGCCTTGGTCCGGGCGCGCGCCTTGGTTCGGGCGCGCGCCTTGGTCCGGGCGCGCGCCTTGGTCCGGGAGCGCGCCTTGGTCCGGGCGCGCGCCTTGGTCCGGGCGCGCGCCTTGGTCCGGGCGCGCGCCTTGGTCCGGGAGCGCGCCTTGGTCCGGGAGCGCGCCTTGGTCCGGGAGCGCGCGCCTTGGTCCGGGAGCGCGCGCCTTGGTCCAGGAGCGCGCCTTGGTCCGGGCGCGCGCCTTGGTCCGGGCGCGCGCCTTGGTCCGGGAGCGCGCCTTGGTCCGGGAGCGCGCCTTGGTCCGGGAGCGCGCCTTGGTGCGGGACCCCGCCCCATTCTCCCGCTTTCCATCACCCCGCCCCATTCTCCCGCTTTCCATCACCCCGCCCCATTCTCCCTCTTTCCATCACCCCGCCCCATTCTCCCGCTTTCCATCACCCGCCCCATTCTCCCGCTTTCCATCACCCCGCCCCATTCTCCCGCTTTCCATCACCCCGCCCCATTCTCCCTCTTTCCATCACCCCGCCCCATTCTCCCTCTATCCATCACCCCGCCCCATTCTCCCTCTTTCCATCACCCTGCCCCATTCTCCCGCTTTCCATCACCCCGCCCCATTCTCCCTCTTTCCATCACCCCGCCCCATTCTCCCTCTTTCCATCACCCCGCCCCATTGTCCCGTTTTCCATCACCCCGCCCCATTCTCCCGCTTTCCATCACCCCGCCCCATTGTCCCGCTTTCCATCACCCCGTCCCATTCTCCCGTTTTCCATCAACCCGCCCCATTCTCCCGCTTTCCAGCACCGCCCCCACCATTCTCCCGCTTTCCATCACCCCGCCCCATTCTCCTGCTTTCCAGCACCCCGCCCCATTCTCCCGCTTTCCATCACCCCGCCCGATTCTCCCGCTTTCTATCACCCCGCCCCATTCTCCCGCTTTCCATCACCCCGCCCCATTCTTCCGCTTTCCATCACCCCGCCCCATTCTCCCGCTTTCCATCACCCCGCCCCATTCTCCCTCTTTCCATCACCCCGCCCCATTCTCCCTCTTTCCATCACCCCGCCCCATTCTCCCTCTTTCCATCACCCCGCCCCATTCTCCCTCTTTCCATCACCCCGCCCCATTCTCCCGCTTTCCATCACCCCGCCCCATTCTCCCTTCTCCATCACCCCGCCCCATTCTCCCTCTTTCCATCACCCCGCCCCATTCTCCCTCTTTCCATCACCCCGCCCCATTCTCCCTCTTTCCATCACCCCGCCCCATTCTCCCTCTTTCCATCATTCTCCCGCTTTCCATCACCCCGCCCCATTCTCCTGCTTTCCATCACCGCGCCCCGTTCTCCCGCTTTCCATCACCCACCCCATTCTCCTGCTTTCCATCACCCCGCCCCGTTCTCCCGCTTTCCAGCACCCCGCCTCGTTCTCCATCTTTCCATCACCCCACCCGATTCTCCCTCTTTCCATCACCCTGCCCCATTCTCCCTCTTTCCATCACCCCGCCCAATTCTTTCGCTTTCCATCACCCCGCCCCATTCTCCCTTTTTCCATCACCCCACCCCATTCTCCCTCTTTCCATCACCCCGCCCCATTCTCCCTCTTTCCATAACCCCGCCCCATTCTCCCGCTTTCCATCACCCCGCCCCATTCTCCCGCTTTCCATCACCCCGCCCCATTCTCCAGCTTTCCATCACCCCGCCCCATTCTCCCGCTTTCCATCGCCCGCCCCATTCTCCCGCTTTCCATCACCCCGCCCCATTCTCCCGCTTTCCAGCACCCCGCCCCATTCTCCCTCTTTCCATCACCCCGCCCCATTCTCCCTATTTCCATCACCCCGCCCCATTCTCCCGCATTCCATCACCCCGCCCCATTCTCCCGCTTTCCATCACCCCGCCCCATTCTCCCTCTTTCCATCACCCCGCCCCATTCTCCCTCTTTCCATCACCCCACCCCATTCTCCCTCTTTCCATCACCCCGCCCCATTCTCCCTCTTTCCATCACCCCGCCCCATTCTCCCGCTCTCCATCACCCCGCCCCATTCTCCCTCTTTCCATCACCCCGCCCCATTCTCCCGCATTCCATCACCCGCCCCATTCTCCCGCTTTCCATCACCCCGCCCCATTCTCCCGCTTTCTATCACCCCGCCCCATTCTCCCGCTTTCCATCATCCCGCCCCATTCTCCCTCTTTCCATTACCCCGCCCCATTCGCCCTCTTTCCATCACCCCGCCCCATTCTCCCTCTTTCCATCACCCCGCCCCATTCTCCCTCTTTCCATCACCCTGCCCCATTCTCCCGCTCTCCATCACCCCGCCCCATTCTCCCTCTTTCCATCACCCCGCCCCATTCTCCCTCTTTCCATAACCCCGCCCCATTCTCCCGCTTTCCATCACCCCGCCCCATTCTCCCGCTTTCCATCACCCCGCCCCATTGTCCCGCTTTCCATCATCCCGTCCCATTCTCCCGCTTTCCATCACCCCGCCCTATTCTCCCGCTTTCCAGCACCCCGCCCCATTCTCCCGCTTTCCATCACCCCGCCCGATTCTCCCGCTTTCCAGCACCCCGCCCCATTCTCCCGCTTTCCATCACCCCGCCCGATTCTCCCGCTTTCCATCACCCCGCCCCATTCTCCCGCTTTCCATCACCCCGCCCCATTCGCCCTCTTTCCATCACCCCGCCCCATTCTCCCGCTTTCCATCAACCCGCCCCATTCTCCCTCATTCCATCACCCCGCCCCATTCTCCCTCTTTCCATCACCCCGCCCCATTCTCCCTCTTTCCATCACCCCGCCCCATTCTCCTTCTTTCCATCACCCTGCCCCATTCTCCCTCTTTCCATCACCCCGCCCCATTCTCCCGTTTTCCATCACCCCGCCCCATTCTCCCGCTTTCCATCACCCGCCCCATTCTTCCGCTTTCCATCACCCCGCCCCATTCTTCCTCTTTCCATCACCCCGCCCCATTCTCCCTCTTTCCATAACCCCGCCCCATTCTCCCGCTTTCCATCACCCCGCCCCATTCTCCCGCTTTCCATCACCCCGCCCCATTCTCCCGCTTTCCATCACCCCGCCCCATTCTCCCGCTTTCCATCACCCGCCCCATTCTCCCGCTTTCCATCACCCCGCCCCATTCTCCCGCTTTCCAGCACCCCGCCCCATTCTCTCTCTTTCCATCACCCCGCCCCATTCTCCCGCCTTCCATCACCCCGCCCGATTCTCCCTCTTTCCATCACCCCGCCCCATTCTCCCGCTTTCCATCACCCCGCCCCATTCTCCCGTTTTCCATCACCCCGCCCCATTCTCCCGCTTTCCATCACCCGGCCCCATTCTCTCTCTTTCCATCACCCCGCCCCATTCTCCCGCCTTCCATCACCCCGCCCGATTCTCCCTCTTTCCATCACCCCGCCCCATTCTCCCGCTTTCTATCACCCCGCCCCATTCTCCCGCTTTCCATCACCCCGCCCCATTCTCCCTCTTTCCATCACCCCGCCCCATTCTCCCGCTTTCCATCACCCGCCCCATTCTCCCGCTTTCCATCACCCCGCCCCATTCTCCCGCTTTCCATAACCCCGCCCCATTCTCCCGTTTTCCATCACCCCGCCCCATTCTCCCGCTTTCCATCACCCCGCCCCATTCTCCCGCTTTCCAGCACCCCACCCCATTCTCCCGCTTTCCATCACCTCGCCCGATTCTCCCGCTTTCCATCACCCCGCCCCATTCTCCAACTTTCCAGCACCCCGCCCCGTTCTCCTGCTTTCCATCATGCCGCCTGATTCCCCCGCTTTCCATCACCCCGCCCCATTCTCCCGCTTTCCATCACCCCGCACCATTCTCCCTCTTTTCATCACCCTGCCCCATTCTCCCGCTTTCCATCACCCGCCCCATTCTCCCGCTTTCCATCACCCCGCCCTATTCTCCCGCTTTCCATCACCCCGCCCCATTCTCCCTCTTTCCATCATCCCGTCCCATTCTCCCTCTTTCCATCACTCCGCCCCATTGTCCCGTTTTCCATCACCCCGCCCCATTCATCCGCTCTCCATCACCCCGCCCCATTCTCCCTCTTTCCATCACCCTGCCCCATTCTCCCGCTTTCCATCACCCCGCCACATTCTCCCTCTTTCCATCACCCCGCCCCATTCTCCCTCTTTCCATAACACCGCCCCATTCTCCCGCTTTCCATCACCCCGCCCCATTCTCCCGCTTTCCAGCACCCCGCCCCATTCTCCCGCTTTCCATCACCCCGCCCGATTCTCCCGCTTTCCAGCACCCCGCCCCATTCTCCCGCTTTCCATCACCCCGCCCGATTCTCCCGCTTTCTATCACCCCGCCCCATTCTCCCGCTTTCCATCACCCCGCCCCATTCTCCCGCTTTCCATCACCCCGCCCCATTCGCCCTCTTTCCATCACCCCGCCCCATTCTCCCGCTTTCCATCAACCCGCCCCATTCTCCCTCATTCCATCACCCCGCCCCATTCTCCCTCTTTCCATCACCCCGCCCCATTCTCCCTCTTTCCATCACCCCGCCCCATTCTCCTTCTTTCCATCACCCTGCCCCATTCTCCCTCTTTCCATCACCCCGCCCCATTCTCCCGTTTTCCATCACCCCGCCCCATTCTCCCGCTTTCCATCACCCGCCCCATTCTTCCGCTTTCCATCACCCCGCCCCATTCTTCCTCTTTCCATCACCCCGCCCCATTCTCCCTCTTTCCATATCCCCGCCCCATTCTCCCGCTTTCCATCACCCCGCCCCATTCTCCCGCTTTCCATCACCCCGCCCCATTCTCCCGCTTTCCATCACCCCGCCCCATTCTCCCGCTTTCCATCACCCGCCCCATTCTCCCGCTTTCCATCACCCCGCCCCATTCTCCCGCTTTCCAGCACCCCGCCCCATTCTCTCTCTTTCCATCACCCCGCCCCATTCTCCCGCCTTCCATCACCCCGCCCGATTCTCCCTCTTTCCATCACCCCGCCCCATTCTCCCGCTTTCCATCACCCCGCCCTATTCTCCCGTTTTCCATCACCCCGCCCCATTCTCCCGCTTTCCATCACCCGGCCCCATTCTCTCTCTTTCCATCACCCCGCCCCATTCTCCCGCCTTCCATCACCCCGCCCGATTCTCCCTCTTTCCATCACCCCGCCCCATTCTCCCGCTTTCTATCACCCCGCCCCATTCTCCCGCTTTCCATCACCCCGCCCCATTCTCCCTCTTTCCATCACCCCGCCCCATTCTCCCGCTTTCCATCACCCGCCCCATTCTCCCGCTTTCCATCACCCCGCCCCATTCTCCCGCTTTCCATAACCCCGCCCCATTCTCCCGTTTTCCATCACCCCGCCCCATTCTCCCGCTTTCCATCACCCCGCCCCATTCTCCCGCTTTCCAGCACCCCACCCCATTCTCCCGCTTTCCATCACCTCGCCCGATTCTCCCGCTTTCCATCACCCCGCCCCATTCTCCAACTTTCCAGCACCCCGCCCCGTTCTCCTGCTTTCCATCATGCCGCCTGATTCCCCCGCTTTCCATCACCCCGCCCCATTCTCCCGCTTTCCATCACCCCGCACCATTCTCCCTCTTTTCATCACCCTGCCCCATTCTCCCGCTTTCCATCACCCGCCCCATTCTCCCGCTTTCCATCACCCCGCCCTATTCTCCCGCTTTCCATCACCCCGCCCCATTCTCCCTCTTTCCATCATCCCGTCCCATTCTCCCTCTTTCCATCACTCCGCCCCATTGTCCCGTTTTCCATCACCCCGCCCCATTCATCCGCTCTCCATCACCCCGCCCCATTCTCCCTCTTTCCATCACCCTGCCCCATTCTCCCGCTTTCCATCACCCCGCCACATTCTCCCTCTTTCCATCACCCCGCCCCATTCTCCCTCTTTCCATAACACCGCCCCATTCTCCCGCTTTCCATCACCCCGCCCCATTCTCCCGCTTTCCAGCACCCCGCCCCATTCTCCCGCTTTCCATCACCCCGCCCGATTCTCCCGCTTTCCAGCACCCCGCCCCATTCTCCCGCTTTCCATCACCCCGCCCGATTCTCCCGCTTTCTATCACCCCGCCCCATTCTCCCGCTTTCCATCACCCCGCCCCATTCTCCCGCTTTCCATCACCCCGCCCCATTCGCCCTCTTTCCATCACCCCGCCCCATTCTCCCGCTTTCCATCAACCCGCCCCATTCTCCCTCATTCCATCACCCCGCCCCATTCTCCCTCTTTCCATCACCCCGCCCCATTCTCCCTCTTTCCATCACCCCGCCCCATTCTCCTTCTTTCCATCACCCTGCCCCATTCTCCCTCTTTCCATCACCCCGCCCCATTCTCCCGTTTTCCATCACCCCGCCCCATTCTCCCGCTTTCCATCACCCGCCCCATTCTTCCGCTTTCCATCACCCCGCCCCATTCTTCCTCTTTCCATCACCCCGCCCCATTCTCCCTCTTTCCATATCCCCGCCCCATTCTCCCGCTTTCCATCACCCCGCCCCATTCTCCCGCTTTCCATCACCCCGCCCCATTCTCCCGCTTTCCATCACCCCGCCCCATTCTCCCGCTTTCCATCACCCGCCCCATTCTCCCGCTTTCCATCACCCCGCCCCATTCTCCCGCTTTCCAGCACCCCGCCCCATTCTCTCTCTTTCCATCACCCCGCCCCATTCTCCCGCCTTCCATCACCCCGCCCGATTCTCCCTCTTTCCATCACCCCGCCCCATTCTCCCGCTTTCCATCACCCCGCCCTATTCTCCCGTTTTCCATCACCCCGCCCCATTCTCCCGCTTTCCATCACCCGGCCCCATTCTCTCTCTTTCCATCACCCCGCCCCATTCTCCCGCCTTCCATCACCCCGCCCGATTCTCCCTCTTTCCATCACCCCGCCCCATTCTCCCGCTTTCTATCACCCCGCCCCATTCTCCCGCTTTCCATCACCCCGCCCCATTCTCCCTCTTTCCATCACCCCGCCCCATTCTCCCGCTTTCCATCACCCGCCCCATTCTCCCGCTTTCCATCACCCCGCCCCATTCTCCCGCTTTCCATAACCCCGCCCCATTCTCCCGTTTTCCATCACCCCGCCCCATTCTCCCGCTTTCCATCACCCCGCCCCATTCTCCCGCTTTCCAGCACCCCACCCCATTCTCCCGCTTTCCATCACCTCGCCCGATTCTCCCGCTTTCCATCACCCCGCCCCATTCTCCAACTTTCCAGCACCCCGCCCCGTTCTCCTGCTTTCCATCATGCCGCCTGATTCCCCCGCTTTCCATCACCCCGCCCCATTCTCCCGCTTTCCATCACCCCGCACCATTCTCCCTCTTTTCATCACCCTGCCCCATTCTCCCGCTTTCCATCACCCGCCCCATTCTCCCGCTTTCCATCACCCCGCCCTATTCTCCCGCTTTCCATCACCCCGCCCCATTCTCCCTCTTTCCATCATCCCGTCCCATTCTCCCTCTTCCATCACTCCGCCCCATTGTCCCGTTTTCCATCACCCCGCCCCATTCATCCGCTCTCCATCACCCCGCCCCATTCTCCCTCTTTCCATCACCCTGCCCCATTCTCCCGCTTTCCATCACCCCGCCACATTCTCCCTCTTTCCATCACCCCGCCCCATTCTCCCTCTTTCCATAACACCGCCCCATTCTCCCGGTTTCCATCACCCCGCCCCATTCTCCCGCTTTCCATCGCCCCGCCCCATTCTCCCGCTTTCCATCACCCCGCCCCATTCTCCCGCTTTCCATCACCCCGCCCCATTCTCCCTCTTTCCATCACCCCGCCCCATTCTCCCGCTTTCCATCACCCGCCCCATTCTCCCGCTTTCCATAACCCCGCCCCATTCTCCCGTTTTCCATCACCCCGCCCCATTCTCCCGCTTTCCATCACCCCGCCCCATTCTCCCGCTTTCCAGCACCCCACCCCATTCTCCCGCTTTCCATCACCTCGCCCAATTCTCCCGCTTTCCATCACCCCGCCCCATTCTCCCGCTTTCCATCACCCCGCCCCATTCTCCAGCTTTCCAGCACCCCGCCCCGTTCTCCTGCTTTCCATCATGCCGCCCGATTCCCCCGCTTTCCATCACCCCGCCCCATTCTCCCGCTTTCCATCACCCCGCCCCATTCTCCCTCTTTTCATCACCCTGCCCCATTCTCTCGCTTTCCATCACCCGCCCCATTCTCCCGCTTTCCATCACCCCGCCCCATTCTCCCGCTTTCCATCACCCCGCCCCATTCTCCCTCTGTCCATCACCCCGCCCCATTCTCCCTCTTTCCATCACTCCGCCCCATTGTCCCGTTTTCCATCACCCCGCCCCATTCATCCGCTTTCCATCACCCCGCCCCATTCTCCCTCTTTCCATCACCCTGCCCCATTCTCCCGCTTTCCATCACCCCGCCCCATTCTCCCGCTTTCCATCGCCCCGCCCCATTCTCCCGCTTTCCATCACCCCGCCCCATTCTCCCGCTTTCCATCACCCCGCCCCATTCTCCCTCTTTCCATCACCCCGCCCCATTCTCCCGCTTTCCATCACCCGCCCCATTCTCCCGCTTTCCATCACCTCGCCCCATTCTCCCGCTTTCCATCACCCCGCCCCATTCTCCCTCTTTCCATCACCCCGCCCCATTCTCCCTCTTTCCATCACCCCGCCCCATTCTCCCTCTTTCCATCACCCCGCCCCATTCTCCCGCTTTTCATCACCCGGCCCCATTCTCCCTCTTTCCATCACCCCGCCCCATTCTCCCTCTTTCCATCACCCCGCCCCATTCTCCCGCTTTTCATCACCCTGCCCCATTCTCCCTCTTTCCATCACCCCGCCCCATTCTCCCTCTTTCCATCACCCCGCCCCATTGTCCCGTTTTCCATCACCCCGCCCCATTCTCCCGCTTTCCATCACCCCGCCCCATTCTCCCGCTTTCCATCACCCCGCCCCATTCTCCCGCTTTCCTTCACCCGCCTTATTCTCCCGCTTTCCATCACCCCACCCCATTCTCCCGCTTTCCAGCACACCGCCTTGTTCTCCCTCTTTCCATCACCCCACCCGATTCTCCCTCTTTCCATCACCCTGCCCCATTCTCCCTCTTTCCATCACCCCGCCCCATTCTCCCTCTTTCCATAACCCCGCCCCATTCTCCCGCTTTCCATCACCCCGCCCCATTCTCCCGCTTTCCATCACCCCGCCCCATTCTCCCGCTTTCCATCACCCGCCCCATTCTCCCGCTTTCCATCACCCCGCCCCATTCTCCCGCTTTCCAGCACCTCGCCCCATTCTCCCTCTTTCCATCACCCCGCCCTATTCTCCCTCTTTCCATCACCCCGCCCCATTCTCCCTCTTTCCATCACCCCGCCCCATTCTCCCGCTTTCCATCACCCCGCCCCATTCTCCCGCTTTCCATCACCCCGCCCCATTCTCCCCCTTTCCATCACCCCGCCCCATTCTCCCGCTTTCCATCACCCGCCCCATTCTCCCGCTTTCCATCACCCCGCCCCATTCTCCCGCTTTCCATCACCCTGCCCCATTCTCCCTCTTTCCATCACCCCGCCCCATTCTCCCTGTGTCCATCACCCCGCCCCATTCTCCCTCTTTCCATCACCCCGCCCCATTCTCCCGCTTTCCAGCTCCTCGCCCCATTCTCCCTCTTTCCATCACTCCGCCCCATTCTCCCGCTTTCCATCAACCCGCCCCATTCTCCCGCTTTCCATCACCCCGCCCCATTCTCCCTCTTTCCAATACCCCGCCCCATTCTCCCTCTTTCCATCACCCCGCCCCATTCTCCCTCTTTCCATCACCCTGCCCCATTCTCCCGCTCTCCATCACCCCGCCCCATTCTCCCTCTTTCCATCACCCCGCCCCACTCTCCCTCTTTCCATAACCCCGCCCCATTCTCCCGCTTTCCATCACCCCGCCCCATTCTCCCGCTTTCCATCACCCCGCCCCATTCTCCCTCTTTCCATGACCCCGCCCCATTCTCCCCTTTTCCATCACCCTGCCCCATTCTCCCGCTTTCCATCACCCCGCCCCATTCTCCCGCTTTCCAGCACCCCGCCCCATTCTCCCGCTTTCCATGACCCCGCCCGATTCTCCCGCTTTCCATCACCCCGCCCCATTCTCCCGCTTTCCAGCACCCCGCCCCGTTCTCCTGCTTTCCATCATGCCGCCCGATCCTCCCGCTTTCCATCACCCCGCCCCATTCTCCCGCTTTCCATCACCCCGCCCCATTCTCCCTCTTTCCATCACCCTGCCCCATTCTCCCGCTTTCGATCACCCGCCCCATTCTCCCGCTTTCCATCACCCCGCCCCATTCTCCCGCTTTCCATCACCCCGCCCCATTCTCCCTCTTTCCATCACCCCGCCCCATTCTCCCTCTTTCCATCACTCCGCCCCATTGTCCCGTTTTCCATCTCCCCGCCCCATTCTCCCGCTTTCCATCACCCCGCCCCATTCTCCCTCTTTCCATCACCCCGCCCCATTCTCCCTCTTTCCATCACTCCGCCCCATTGTCCCGTTTTCCATCACCCCGCCCCATTCTCCCGCTTTCCATCACCCCGCCCCATTCTCCCCCTTTCCATCACCCCGCCCCATTCTCCCGCTTTCCATCACCCGCCCCATTCTCCCGCTTTCCATCACCCCGCCCCATTCTCCCGCTTTCCATCACCCTGCCCCATTCTCCCTCTTTCCATCACCCCGCCCCATTCTCCCTGTGTCCATCACCCCGCCCCATTCTCCCTCTTTCCATCACCCCGCCCCATTCTCCCGCTTTCCAGCACCTCGCCCCATTCTCCCTCTTTCCATCACTCCGCCCAATTCTCCCGCTTTCCATCAACCCGCCCCATTCTCCCGCTTTCCATCACCCCGCCCCATTCTCCCTCTTTCCAATACCCCGCCCCATTCTCCCTCTTTCCATCACCCCGCCCCATTCTCCCTCTTTCCATCACCTCGCCCCATTCTCCCTCTTTCCATCGCCCTGCCCCATTCTCCCGCTCTCCATCACCCCGCCCCATTCTCCCTCTTTCCATCACCCCGCCCCACTCTCCCTCTTTCCATAACCCCGCCCCATTCTCCCGCTTTCCATCACCCCGCCCCATTCTCCCGCTTTCCATCACCCCGCCCCATTCTCCCTCTTTCCATGACCCCGCCCCATTCTCCCCTTTTCCATCACCCTGCCCCATTCTCCCGCTTTCCATCACCCCGCCCCATTCTCCCGCTTTCCAGCACCCCGCCCCATTCTCCCGCTTTCCATCACCCCGCCCGATTCTCCCGCTTTCCATCACCCCGCCCCATTCTCCCGCTTTCCAGCACCCCGCCCCGTTCTCCTGCTTTCCATCAGGCCGCCCGATCCTCCCGCTTTCCATCACCCCGCCCCATTCTCCCGCTTTCCATCACCCCGCCCCATTCTCCCTCTTTCCATCACCCTGCCCCATTCTCCCGCTTTCGATCACCCGCCCCATTCTCCCGCTTTCCATCACCCCGCCCCATTCTCCCGCTTTCCATCACCCCGCCCCATTCTCCCTCTTTCCATCACCCCGCCCCATTCTCCCTCTTTCCATCACTCCGCCCCATTGTCCCGTTTTCCATCACCCCACCCCATTCTCCCGCTTTCCATCACCCCGCCCCATTCTCCCTTTTTCCATCACCCCGCCCCATTCTCCCTCTTTCCATCACCCCGCCCCATTCTCCCTCTTTCCATAACCCCGCCCCATTCTCCCGCTTTCCATCACCCCGCACCATTCTCCCACTTTCCATCACCCCGCCCCATTCTCCCGCTTTCCATCACCCGCCCCATTCTCCCGCTTTCCATCACCCCGCCCCATTCTCCCGCTTTCCAGCACCTCGCCCCATTCTCCCTCTTTCCATCACCCCGCCCCATTCTCCCTCTTTCCATCACCCCGCCCCATTCTCCCTCTTTCCATCACCCCGCCCCATTCTCCCGCTTTCCATCACCCCGCCCCATTCTCTCTCTTTCCATCACCCTGCCCCATTCTCCCGCTTTCCATCACCCAGCCCCATTCTCCCTCTTTCCATCACCCCGCCCCATTCTCCCGCTTTCCAGCACCCCGCCCCATTCTCCCGCTTTCCATCACCCCGCCCCATTCTCCCCCTTTCCATCACCCCGCCCCATTCTCCCGCTTTCCATCACCCGCCCCATTCTCCCCCTTTCCATCACCCCGCCCCATTCTCCCGCTTTCCATCACCCTGCCCCATTCTCCCTCTTTCCATCACCCCGCCCCATTCTCCCTGTGTCCATCACCCCGCCCCATTCTCCCTCTTTCCATCACCCCGCCCCATTCTCCCGCTTTCCAGCACCTCGCCCCATTTTCCCTCTTTCCATCACTCCGCCCCATTCTCCCGCTTTCCATCAACCCGCCCCATTCTCCCTCTTTCCATCACCCCGCCCCATTCTCCCTCTTTCCATTACCCTGCCCCATTCTCCCTCTTTCCATCACCCCGCCCCATTGTCCCGCTTTCCATCACCCCGCCCCATTCTCCCGCTTTCCATCACCCGCCCCATTCTCCTGCTTTCCATCACCTCGCCCCATTCTCCCGCTTTCCATCACCCCGCCCCATTCTCCCTCTTTCCATAACCCCGCCCCATTCTCCCCTTTTCCATCACCCTGCCCCATTCTCCCGCTTTCCATCACCCCGCCCCATTCTCCCGCTTTCCAGCACCCCGCCCCATCGTCCCGCTTTCCATCACCCCGCCCGATTCTCCCACTTTCCATCACCCCGCCCCATTCTCCCGCTTTCCAGCACCCCCCCCCGTTCTCCTGCTTTCCATCATGCCGCCCGATCCTCCCACTTTCCATCACCCCGCCCCATTCTCCCGCTTTCCATCACCCCGCCCCATTCTCCCTCTTTCCATCACCCTGCCCCATTCTCCCGCTTTCCATCACCCGCCCCATTCTCCCGATTTCCATCACTCCGCCCCATTCTCCCGCTTTCCATCACCCCGCCCCATTCTCCCTCTTTCCATCACCCCGCCCCATTCTCCCTCTTTCCATCACTCCGCCCCATTGTCCCGTTTTCCATCACCCCGCCCCATTCTTCCGCTTTCCATCATCCCGCCCCATTCTCCCTCTTTCCATCACCCTGCCCCATTCTCCCTCTTTCCATCACCCCGCCCCATTCTCCCTTTTTCCATCACCCCGCCCCATTCTCCCTCTTTCCATCACCCCGCCCCATTCTCCCTCTTTCCATAACCCCGCCCCATTCTCCCGCTTTCCATCACCCCGCCCCATTCTCCCGCTTTCCATCACCCCGCCCCATTCTCCCGCTTTCCATCACCCGCCCCATTCTCCCGCTTTCCATCACCCCGCCCCATTCTCCCGCTTTCCAGCACCTCGCCCCATTCTCCCTCTTTCCATCACCCCGCCCCATTCTCCCTCTTTCCATCACCCCGCCCCATTCTCTCTCTTTCCATCACCCCGCCCCATTCTCCCACTTTCCATCACCCCGCCCCATTCTCCCGCTTTCCATCACCCCGCCCCATTCTCCCCCTTTCCATCACCCCGCCCCATTCTCCCGCTTTCCATCACCCGCCCCATTCTCCACCTTTCCATCACCCCGCCCCATTCTCCCGCTTTCCATCACCCTGCCCCATTCTCCCTCTTTCCATCACCCCGCCCCATTCTCCCTGTGTCCATCACCCTGCCCCATTCTCCCTCTTTCCATCACCCCGCCCCATTTTCCCTGTGTCCATCACCCCGCCCCGTTTTCCCTCTTTCCATCACTCCGCCCCATTCTCCCGCTTTCCATCAACCCGCCCCATTCTCCCTCTTTCCATCACCCCGCCCCATTCTCCCGCTTTCCATCAACCCGCCCCATTCTCCCGCTTTCCATCACCCCGCCCCATTCTCCCTCTTTCCATCACCCCGCCCCATTCTCCCTCTTTCCATCACCCTGCCCCATTCTCCCGCTCTCCATCACGCCGCCCCATTCTCCCTCTTTCCATCACCCCGCCCCACTCTCCCTCTTTCCATAACCCCGCCCCATTCTCCCGCTTTCCATCACCCCGCCCCATTCTCCCTCTTTCCATCACCCCGCCCCATTCTCCCTCTTTCCAAAACCCCGCCCCATTCTCCCCTTTTCCATCACCCTGCCCCATTCTCCCGCTTTCCATCACCACGCCCCATTCTCCCGCTTTCCAGCACCCCGCCCCTTTCTCCCGCTTTCCATCACCCGCCCGATTCTCCCACTTTCCATCACCCCGCCCCATTCTCCCGCTTTCCAGCACCCCGCCCCATTCTCCCGCTTTCCATCACCCCGCCCCATTCTCCCGCTTTCCATCACCCCGCCCCATTCTCCAGCTTTCCATCACTCCGCCCGATTCTCCCGCTTTCCATCACCCCGCCCCATTCTCCCGCTTTCCATCACCCCGCCCCATTCTCCCGCTTTCCATCACCCCGCCCCATTCGCCCTCTTTCCATCACCCCGCCCAATTCTCCCGCTTTCCATCACCCCGCCCCATTCTCCCTCTTTCCATCACCCCACCCCATTCTCCCTCTTTCCATCACCCCGCCCCATTCTCCCTCTTTCCCTAACACCGCCCCGTTCTCCTGCTTTCCATCATGCCGCCCGATCCTCCCGCTTTCCATCACCCCGCCCCATTCTCCCGCTTTCCATCACCCCGCCCCATTCTCCCTCTTTCCATCACCCTGCCCCATTCTCCCGCTTTCCATCACCCGCCCCATTCTCCCGCTTTCCATCACCCCGCTCCATTCTCCCGCTTTCCATCACCCCGCCCCATTCTCCCTCTTTCCATCACCCCGCCCCATTCTCCCTCTTTCCATCACTCCGCCCCATTGTCCCGTTTTCCATCACCCCGCCCCATTCTTCCGCTTTCCATCATCCCGCCCCATTCTCCCTCTTTCCATC